CCTCCCCCTCCACCGTTGCCACACACACACACACACACACACACACACACACCACACACACATACACACATACACAACAAACATACACACATACACACATACACCCACACCACCACACCCACACCCACACCCACCACACATCCACACCCCACAGCCCCACCCACACCCAATCACATCCACCCACACCCACCACCACACCACCACACCCCACACATCCCCACCTTCCCACACCCCACACCCACACCCATCACATACCCACCGACACCTAGCGCCCGAGCCTCCCTTCCCCCGCTTCTCTCGATCAGCCAAGGACAGACATCATTACGATCATCACCGACCGTTCAAAGCCATTCGCGAAATCCGGATAACGTTTGATCGATTAGCCGAAAGAGCTGGAACCTCGGGCCGCGCGATGAGATCGATGGAGCCCCATTAGCGGAGCTCTAATTCATAACGCGAGGGTTGGGGGGGGAGGAGGGAGGGAGGGAGAGGGAGGGAGGAGGGAGGGAGGGAGGGAGAAGAGGGAGAGAGCGAGAGGGAGAGCGAGAGGGGGAGGGAGGGAGGGAAGGAAGGGAGAGAGGGAGGAGGAGGAGGAGGGAGGAGGAGGGAGGGAGGGAGGGAGAGAGAGATAGAGAGAGAGAGAGAGAGAGAGAGAGAGAGAGAGAGAGAGAGAGAGAGAGAGAGAGAGAGAGAGAGAGAGAGAGAGAGAGAGAGAGAGAGAGAGAGAGAGATAGAGAGAGAGAGAGAGAGAGAGAGAGAGAGAGAGAGAGAGAGAGAGGAGAGAGGAGAGAGAAGAGAGAGAGAGAGAGAGAGAGAGAGAGAGAAAGAAAGAAGATAGATAGATAGATAGAGAGAGAGAGAGAGAGAGAGAGAGAGAGAGAGAGAGAGAGAGAGAGAGAGAGAGAGAGAGAGAGAGAGAGAGAGAGAGAGAGAGAGGGAGAGAGAGAGAGAGAGAGAGAAGGATAGATTAGATAGATAGATAGAGAGAGAGAGGAGAGAGAGAGAGAGAGAGAGAGAGAGAGAGAGAGAGAGAGAGAGAGAGAGAGAGAGAGAGAGAGAGAGAAGAAGAGATAAAGAGAAAGAGAAAGAGAGAAGAGAGAAAGAGACAGTAAAGACAGACACGAAGATAAGTAACCGGTCGAGAGAACTTAAAGAAATACAAACAAACGAATCTAGACAACCAACCAAACCTAAAAAAAAAGCAAAGCGAGAGAAGCCCGGGAAGGCGAGCTCATTCCCGGGCCGATCTGGCGGGCCAATTCGACGAAGACTAATGGCGCGCGCCAACTTCCGAGGTCTCTGGCGCCCCGACTAACTTCCCGCGCTTGGGATTGTCTTTGGCGCGGTTCTCGCCCTCGCCATCTCGCTCGTTTTTTCTTTACTTTTTATATTTTTTTAATCTTTGTTTTCCTCTCTTTGCCGTGTTTCTCCCGATTCGCCATTTTCCTTTTTTATCTTTATATTTTAATTTCATCTTTTGATTTTTATTTCTTCTCTTTGCCGTGTTTCTCCGCTTGCCATTCCTTTCTTTTTTTAATCTTTATTTTCCTCTCTTTGCCGTGTTTTCTTCGCTTCGCCATCTCATTGTATCTGTTTTCGTTCTTTTTAGTCTTTGTTTTCCTCTCTTTGCCGTGTTTCTCCCCTCGCATCTCGCTTCGTTTTTCTTTATTTTTATCTTTTTGTTATTTTTCCTCTTTTTGCTGTGTTTTCCATCGCCATCTCGCTCATTTTTCTTTTTTTAATCTTCTTCATTTTTTTTTCTCTCTTTGCTGGTTTCTCTCCTCGCCATCCCGCTATTTTCTTTATCTTTTTTAATCTTTGTTTTTCTCTTTGCTGCGTTTTCCTCGCCATCACCGTCATTTTTCTTTATTTTTTGAAATTTTGTTTTTTCTCTCTTTGCCGTGTTTCTCCGTTCGCCATCGGCGTCATTTTTTCTTTATTTTTTATCTTTTTTAATCCTTTATTTTCCTTCTTTGCAATGTTTCTCCGCTGCGTATCTCCTTTCTCTTATCATTTATTTCCTCTCCTTTGCGGGTTATCCTCGCCATTCGTTTTTTTCCTTTTTTCATCTTTTAAATTTTTATTTTCCTCTCTTTGCCGTGTTTCTCGTCGCCAGCTCGGTTTCTTTTATTCGGTTTTTATTTTTTCATCTTTATTTTCCTTTTGTTGCTATTTTCTCTTTCCCATTCTTTTTTTATTCTTTATTTTCCTCTTTTGCCGGTTCTCCCCCTCCCATCTCATATTTTTTGTGTTGTTTTTTTAACCCTTATTCATATCCGCACTGGTCTCTTTTAATTCGAGGTGTTTTTTCCTTTCACTTGCTCCCCAGTTTCTGTTCTCTCTCTTTCTATACGATTTCTCTTCATATCTCTTTCTTCGTATCATACGTTCTTCCTTCTCGGGGTTTCTTTCATCTGCTCTTCTCCCGGATTTTTGTAGCACCTTCTCATCTTCCTCTCTTTCCATTTCCTATCTACTGTTTCCCCCTTTTACTATTCACTCCTCTCTGTCATCTATCCTGTCTCTTACTGTTTCTTCTGTCTGCCTCGATTCTCATGTCTCTAGTCTGGCCTATCTGTCTGTCTGTCTCTCCTTTCCTTTTATCTCCCCTGCCTACCTTTAACTCTCAATTTCTATTTCCTCCCGTGTTGCTTTCTGGCCTCCCTCCCTTCCTCGGTCCCCCATTTCCTCCGTTCCTTTCCCTCTCTCCTCGCTCTCTCCTTCCTTTCCCTCTTTCCTCCTCCTCCATCCTTTCCTTCTCTCCTCCTCCATCATTCCTTTCCTTCTCTCCCTCCCTTCCCTCCGCTCCCTCCCCCCCCTCCCTCCTCCTCCTCCTCCCTCCTCCCTCCTCCCTCCCCTCCTCAACATCGGAGAGGACGGTCCCGAAATATTCTCATGCTTGGGGCCCCGGGTTCATCTAGCGGAGGGTCCTGGGTACTGAAGACGGCTTATGATTTTTTGTGTGACGCCAGCGAGGAGGGGAGAGGGAAGAGAGGAAGGCGAAAGGGGGGGGAGAGAGGGAGGGAAGTAGGAAGGTGGGATGGGGAGAGAGAGAGGAAAGGGAGACAGAGGAGGGAGGGAGAGGGAGGGAGAGATGAGGAAGAAGAGAGGAGAGAGGAGAGGAGACAGCCAAGGGCAGGAGGAAGGAGAGGGAAGAGAGGAAGGGCGAAAAGGACAGAAAAAGATGAGGGAGGGAAGAGGTTATTAAGGTGGGGGCTGGGGGGAGTGAGGGAGAGGGGAACGAAGAGGAGGAGGAAAGGGGGAGAGGAGGAGGGAGAGAGGGAGGGTGAGAGTAGGAGGAGAGGGAGAGGGAGAGGAAGAGGGAGAGAAGAGACGGAGATAGGAGGACAGAGGGCGAGAGAGAGAAGAGACGGGTGTCGAGAAGAGAGCGCAGAGAGAGGAGGACGGAGAGACTGCCGAGAGAGAGAGGGAAGACCGAAAGAGACGAGAGGAGAGAGAGGGGAGAGAGGAGGAGATGCTGAAGAAAACACATGACGAGAAGGTAGAGAGGGGAGCACGAGAGAGAAGAAGAGGAGAAAGATGAGAGAGGAGAGAGACGAGAGGAGAGAGAGAGAGAGAGAGACGAGAGAGAGAGAGAATGAGAGAGAGCAGAGATGAGTAGAGAGAGAGAGAGAGAGAGAGAGAGAGAGAGAGAGACAGAGAGAGAGAGAGAGAGAGATGAGAGTAGTAAAGAGGAGAGAGGAGAGAGAGAGACAGACAGACAAGGGACAAAGAAACAAGGAGAGATACAAGAGCCCGGGCACGCCAAAGACCAACACACGCTAACCCACAGAGCGCGACCACAAATCAAATCTGACACACCGGGAGATGATTCTTAATCCTATCAACGCTCTCAGTTTCGACTTCTGGAAAAACGCTGTTCATTCTCTTTCTATCTCTTCATCTCTGTCTATGTCTGTCTGTCTGTCTGTCTCTCTCTCTCTCTCTCTCTCTCACTCTCTCTCTCTCTCTCTCTCTCTCTCTCTCTCTCTCTCTTCTCTCTCTCTCTCCTCTCTCTCTCTCTCTCTCTCTCTCTCTCTCTCTTCCTATTTTCTTTTCATCGTCCTTCCTTTCTTTCTTCCTTTCCCCCTTCCTTCCTTCATTTATTTTTTCCTTCCTTTCTCCCTTCCTGATTTTTTCTCTTTCATCTGGGAAGCCATAAGTCTGAGAGATCTGCTTCGCTTGCCCTGACATCACTGCTGGAAAAAAAATAGGCGTGACATCATAATCCCGACACCATAGGCCTGTCATCATAATCCTGACACAGACCTGACGTCATTAACCTATCATCATATCTAACGCCAATGACCTGACACCACAACTGACGTCAATAGCCCAACAACTCTAACTTCGTCAAACCGACGTCATAAACCCAACGTCATAGCCCTGACATCACCTGTCCTGCCAACGTCGCCATAAAAAAAAAAAAAAATAATAAATAAAAAAAACAAAAAAAATACAACAGTAACAGTAGGGGAACACAGGCTGGAGAACCTTGGCGCAGCGGAGGCACCTGTCATCGGCTACTATATGGAAGATAACAAGATTGTACTCTCCTCCTCTCCTCTCCCCGCTCCCCCCTAACCCTCTCTCCCCTCTCCCCCCTCCCTCCTCATTTAGCCTTTCCCTCTCCCAGTCCCCGCGTGATTGTGGAAGTCACATTCTCTCTCTCTCCTTCCCTCTTCTCCTAAGTCCTTCGACAATCCATTCCCTGTCTCTCTGTCTCTCTCTCTCTGTCTGTCTGTCTGTCTGTCTGTCTGTCTCTCTGTCTCTCTCCCTCTCTCTTCTCTTCCTTACTCCTTCCCTCTCACTCCTCCCTCCCTTCCCCCACTTCGTCTCTCTTTCTTTTTCCCTGCCTCAGCCCCCTAAAATCGCCCTGCTTTTTTCAGATCTTTATCAATTTTTCATCTTATTCTATCAATCTGTGTAGCACCATAGCTCATTATTATAATGAATTAGCTTTCATGTTACGCTAGACCCAAGAACAAACTGCGTCACAGCTGGTCACTCTAAGCCACTTCCAGGCCCTGTCACCCCAACCCTTCAGCTGCCACTCCGCCTGGCTGCCACTCTCACTCCCAAAGTCACCCTTCAGCCACTCCGCAAGGCCCTGTCACCCTTCAGCTGCCCACTCCGTCAAGCCCCTGTCACCCTTCAGCTGCCACTCCGCCTCACTCCCAAGGCCCTGTCACCTCCAGCTGCCACTCCGCCTCACTCCCAAGGCCTGTCCCTTCAGCTGCCACTTCCGCCTCACTCCCAAGGCCCTGTCACCCTTCAGCTGCCACTCCGCCCACTCCCAAGGCCCTGTCACCCTTCAGCTGCCACTCCGCCTCACTCCAAGGCCCTGTCACCCTTCAGCTGCCACTCCGCCTCACTCCCAAGGCCCTGTCACCTTCACTGCCAGCCTCACTCCCAAGGCCTGTCACCCTTCAGCTGCCACTCCGCCTCACTCCCAAGGCCCTGTCACCCTCAGCTGCCACTCCGCCTCACTCCCAAGGCCCTGTCACCCTTCAGCTGCCACTCCGCCTCACTCCCAAGGCCCTGTCACCCTTCAGCTGCCACTCCGCCTCACTCCCAAGGCCCTGTCACCCTTCAGCTGCCACTCCGCCCCAAGGCCCTGTCACCCTTCAGCTGCCACTCCGCCTCACTCCCAGGCCCTGTCACCCTTCAGCCACTCCGCTCACTCCCAAGCCCTGTCACCCTTCAGCTGCCACTCCCTCACTCCCAAGGCCCTGTCACCCTTCAGCTGCCACTCCGCCTCACTCCCAAGCCCTGTCACCCTTCAGCTGCCATCCGCCTCACTCCCCAAGGCCCTGTCACCCTTCAGCTGCCACTCCGCCTCACCCAAGCCTGTCACCCTTCAGCTGCCACTCCCTCACTCCCAAGGCCCATCACCCTTCAGCTGCCACTCCGCCTCACTCCCAAGGCCCTGTCACCCTTCAGCTGCCACTCCGCCTCACCCAAGGCCCTGTCAACTCTCACCCTTCAGCTCACTCCGCTCAACACCCACCGCCTCACTCAGCGGACCTCTGTTGTTGCCTCAATTTCTAGCGCAACACCCCCAGGCGACACGGAATTTTCTCGCCCCATTCACGCGCATATTCTTCATTGTTGTCTCTTCCTCCCCTTCTGCACATTCCCCATCCTCCCCCTTGGTCGCGCGAAATGGCACTTACTTCGGCTGAAGTGCTCCCCATTCTCTGCTCTCTCTCTCTCTCTCTCTCTCTCTCTCTCTCTCTCTCTCTTACCTGTTTTCCCCCTTTTCGTCCTCCCTTCACTTGCCTGCCTTCCCTCTTCGATCTTTCTTCCGCTTGTCTGATTCCTCTCTTCGTCTTCTCTTCTACTTATCTGCTCCCCCTCTTCGGCCTCTGTTCCATCTATCAGCCTTCATTTTACGCTCTTTCTTCCACCTGTCTCCTTCCCCTCTTCGTCTTTCACTTACCTGTCATCCCTCTTGGCTCTTCCTTCCACCTGTCTACTTCCCCTCTTCGTCCTCTGTTCCACATGCCTACTTCTCTGCACATTACCTACCACTTGCCTGACTACCCTTTCCACCTCTTTTCCACTCTTTTTGCCTATTCCTCCCTTCTATGTTTTCTCTTCCTCCTCCACTCTCTCTTCCACGCACCTGGCTACCTCCCTTTCCACTTTCTTCCACCTGCCTGCCTGCCTCCTCTTCCCCCTTATTTCTGTCCGTCTCTTAACCCATTCAGTCCTCTGTTCCACCTGTGTTCCTCTCCTCTCCCCCTTTCTCTCCACCCTCCGTTCTCCATTTAATCTTGTCACCCCTATCTAACTTCTTTTCTGCCATTCTCTCTCCTCTCATTTCTCTTTTCCACCTGCCTACTCCCCCTCTCTTCCAACTCCCTCACTTCCTCTACCCTCCCTTCCACCTTCCCACTCCCTCCCCACTCCACTCTCCCCTTTCCCTCCCTCCCTTCTATCTCCACTCTTCCACCTCCCTTTCCCCTCCCTCCTTCCTCCACCTTCCCTCCACCTCCCACCTCCCACTCCCCCCTCCTCCACCAGCCACCCTTCCCCTCCCTCCCTCCACCAGCCTCCTCCACCTCCCCTCTCCCCCTCTTCTAACGATGAACCGAAAGGTCCCAGACGTTTTAACAGCAACGAATCAAAAGTAAAAGTAAAGGAATAAAATAAAAAAACCAACTTGGTTCACCCGATCAAACAGAAAGAGAAGAACTGAAAGAAAGACGAAAGTCCAGATTGCCAAGACTGAAGGAAGGAGATAAAGAAGTCATTCGGTCGCCTGGTCTTTGTTAAAGGGTGTTTGGCAACTGAGATAAATTCGACCGGTTCGTTAAGATAGTGCGAGGCCCGAGCTAATGAATATTCGTTATACGGACATGCATATATACAGAAATAAATGCATATATATGTATTAGTCTCGACATGCATATCTGCCAGACAGATAGCTAGATAAATGTATATATATCAAATAGATAGAGAGATATGCATTTATTTCGGTGTATATGCATGGCCGCATAGATGAATATTTATTGTGTCCGGACTCCTACAAATTCAACAAACCGGCCGATCGTCTCTATAGCGTTTACGTGTATTCCTAGGACGCTCGTAAAATAGCCTAGACATTAAAATAAATAGATAAATAAATATATACATAAACATACAAATAAAAAATGTAAAAATAACAAATAAAAAGTAAAAATAAACTAAATTCCCCTTCCCAAAAAGAAGATCGTCCTGTTAACCATCAAAAGACAAAAATCCTGAGGAATCCCCAGAAATAAAAAATGCATCGAAATACCAAATAAACAACAAAATGAATGAAAAAAAAAAAAAAAAGAGAGAGATGAGAGAAGAGAGAGGCAAACAGGACACAAATCCAGACACGCATGGCCATTACATATGTGGAATTCACGACGAACAAGTTGCAGGAACAGGAACAACGAAGGGATGAACAACAAGAAAACACACGAATATGTCGAAGGCCTTTCTTTTCGCTCTCGCATCGTCAGGGCACGTATGCATGTATGCCCTGACGAAGCAAGAGCGAAAGGGCCTTCAACATATTCGTGTGTTTTCTTGTTTTTCTTGTTGTTTTCCCTTCGCTGTCCCTGTTGCATGGCCATTGCAACACCGCGGTAAAGTGGTCTGTAATCCACCAAGAGTAACAGCCAAGGGGTAGATGTTCCGCCACCAACTACAGGCATGAGGCGGCCGAGGGAGAGAGCTGGAGATTAGACTAGAGTGATGGGGAAGAGCAGATTGGCGGAGAGTCAAATGCCTTTTAGAATGTTAGGAAGAGTGGAAAAAAAAACTTTTAGAGTGGAAAACCTTTTAGTATGTTGGGTAGAGTGAAAAATCTTCTAGAATGTTAGGAAGAGTGGGAAAAAAAAACTTTTACAATGTTAAGAGCAGAAAACCTTTCAGAATGCTAGGAAGTGTAAAAAAAATCTTTAGAATGCTAGGAAAAAAAAATCTTTAGAATGCTAGGAAGAGTGGAAAACCTTTTGAATGTTAGGAAGAGTAGAAAAGAATTTTACAATGTTAGGATCGTGGAAAACCTTTTAGAATGTTAGGGAGAGTGGATACAACGTTGTATTCAACAGAGGGAGATTAACAGCAAAGCTAGGTATGTTGCGCGAGTGGAGAGCAATATCGACAGGTATAAACGTAATGTTTGTTTTTTTATACATTTTTGAAAAGATATAATACCTAAACAAAGTGTACAGAGAAGGAAAAAAATACACACTAGAGGTAGACTGAAGTAGCATGTGTTGTAAAAAAGCCACACGAGTATTAACCAACCTGCTGAAGACAAATTACAAAAATAATCATCGACTCCTAACCCTCCCTTTTCATAAAACGCAACAGCACTTCCACGAAGACCGGACCCCACGCCTCCCGAGCCTCGCCAATGAATGCAAAGGCCTTCAAAACCAAACACAGAGGATATACGCCTGTTATCACACGCCCACGCAACATGTCATTGACTCGTTATCGGTCTTTCTCTTCATATCCTCATTAACTTATCTTTGTTGCATTCTCTTTGTGTGACATTGTTCATACCTTCATGATGGATTACCACAGTGTTTTCTTCGGTTTCATACGGGTAAACTACATAATATAGCATCCATTTACCAAAATTTATGTCACGTGTATATCCACCCACATGGGGACGAATATACAGGGACGCTAATGAATCCAGAAGAACTACCCGGGCGGCTTTAGCATGGGTTCTCCCCCGTGGTCGTTGAGAGGGGACGCAGGAGACAAGAGTCGCACACAGCAACGCACGCAAGGCCGGGAATAAACGCACACGAACCGCGCCGTAAGTGGCCGGGAATGCTCGCCTGCCGGAATGAAAGCGTCCCCCCGGTCCTGGTTGGTCCCTCCCTCCCGACGCTGGTCTTCGGGAAAACTTTTCTTCGTCTCCTCTCGCTCCGTTTTCTTAATTTGCAAAAGAATTAAGAAAGGAAAGTACGACCATTGTACTCTTTATAACTAAGTATGCATTTTTATAAAATTTTCATCGTCTCCTCTCACTCCGTTTTCTTAATTCGCAAAGAATAAAGGGAAAAGACATGGATTATACTCTTTATAATACGTATGCATTCTTAAAAAACTGAGTCATAACGAAGAACAATACGCGATTCATCAACGCCCGTGCACACACTCTTAAATCTTAAATCTTAACGAAGAAAGGAGATCAGAATACACGAATCACACACACTCTTCGCCACTCCCTCCTCCTCCCACCAGAACAGCCAAACAATAAACCTTTCTCCGGCAGCCTTTGAGCGCCGTTCCGGGTATCTCATTCCAGAAACCATTAACAGCAGCGCGCCTAACATGATTTACATCTCATTCCGTCTTGTTTACAGGTTAAAAATCCGCAATTCTGTTAACTTCGCCACCTGGTCAGAAAACAGACGCCGAAGTCCCGCCCCCCTCGCCACGCCCATCACCCGCGCCGAAGGGCCTCTCCGCGCCCTCTCCCACCTGCAGGCGCTCTCCC